ATGGTGATGGTCTTGTTGGCTATGCAGACTCTGATTACGGGGGTGACTTGGTGAAACGAAGATCACTGACTTGCTTTATCTTCACTCTGTTAGGATGTGCAGTCAGTTGGAAGTTTACTTTACAACCTACGGTTGCACTGTCGACGACTGAGGCGGAATACATGTCAATGACTGAAGGTATTAAGCAGGGTATCTAGTTACATGCTCTGGTGCAGAGTTTGGGTCTGAAGGTGGAGAAACCGGTATTATTATGTGATAGTCAAAGTGCTTTGAGTTTGGCTAAAAATGCAGTATATCATGAGAGAACCAAACATATTGATGTAAGGTTGAATTTTATTCGTGATGTTCTGGAGGAAGACAGGTTTTCTATTCAGAAAATAGCTACAGAACACAATCCAGCTGATATGTTGATAAAGGCACTACCAACGGAGAAGTTTGAGCACTGCTTGAACGTGGTGAATATTCGCAGGAGGTAAAGCCCTCTCGGGGCATCTGGCAAGAAGGAAACGACTGGGAGATATTGACGAACCTTTGGCGGTAGGAGAAACTCCAAGTCAAGGTGTAGATTGTTGAAACGTGACTTGGATTTAGCGGTCTACCCGACCAAAAACCAAAGCGAAAGGGCTGTTTCAATTGGCAGGGTTCCTTTTGGGCTTATCCTAATAGGCTTAGGGTTTAGGGTGTTTTGGGGTGCTTATAAATAGATAGCTATGGTTCTTAGTCGGATGACATAATTGTAAATCTCTGAATCAGTATGATAAAATTTCTCCGGTTCCTGCCCGTGGACGTAGGTTGACACACCGTCATTGAACTACGTAAAACCTCTGTGTTCTTTAATTGCTTTCTTTCTCGTTTTCTCATAACACCAATAAATGTTATTTTGCCCGAAGATAATTATAGTTTGTGGGCACAATCGATGAAATTTTTTTCTCATAGGTACAAAGTTATAGTGAATTGTTACAGGGAATATAGTTTCTTCCGTTGCTCCTATTTCTATAGAGAAGCTGAAATAACTAGCAATCACCTGCATGAATAAAAATTCCTCTAAAAAGAGCATATGGACAACTCGACTCCAAATAACATTGAAAAATTAAGATAAATAGTTTGTGGCTTTTAACTTTACGTAGTCAACATAACAAAAAGTACGGAAGACTTAGCTAGTTGACATGATATATTGAACTATTATATATTAGATTACATCTAGTCAATAACATTGATGCGTTACTATTTCATCCTTGTTTATTTGCACACTATCCATTTAAGTCATATATCACATATTGAGATTTACAAGATTTTCATTTGAAGTGATTCTTCACATTTGTTTATAAGTAATAATTACTCATAGTATGTACTTATCCTTCAAAACTATTAAGAGTAATCGATTTAACCTGAGCAAAATTGCAAAAAATTATATTTCAATGATTTATAGGGAATGATAATCAAGTATTAATGTTGTTCATTTTAATTTTTTAATTAAACAAGGCTTGAAATCTCTAAATGTTTTCATTAGGTTACCATTACAATAGTCTTTACATTGTGTATTTTAAATCTATTCTCTTTAGTAATTTATATATATGATCATGATTTAACCATTTTCTTGTCAATTTGTTAAGTCTAGATTCTTTAATATCTTGATCACAAATAGCAAAAAAATTATTTTCTCATCTTGTAGTTCTACATCTATCTGTTCAATACTAAGCTAGATGTTTTCTTCACATATATAAATATCTTCAAAAAATATAGTATTTTTTTTTTTCAATTGTAGTTCTTTTGGTCATATTAGAGATGTCGCACTTGTGAACTACAAAGTGGTAGGTAATATCCTATAAATATATAATCTATCATTTTAAGTTATATTTTATGCGGTCATTTATAAAGTTGTTAAAATATTTTTTTCCAAGTGTTAGTTTGCATATATTTAACTTGTGCACACTGGTGTGACTTAATTCAAATAGCTTAGGGTGTGTTCGGTTGTGGGATTCTATTCCAAAATTACTATTCATCAATTTTTTTTCCTCCAAAAATATCAAATCAAATACTTATTATTTTTTTATATTATATTAAAAATCAATTTCACATTCAAAATATCACATTAACACCTATTTAATCGCATCATGCCACTATTTCAATTCAAAACTTTTACTATTCAAATCTCAACTCAAAATTCAAACCCCAAAACAAACACACCCTTAGAGTTCTTTTGATGAAAGAAAATAGTAACTTAACCATATTAACTTTCCACAAACTTGACAATATAATTTCTTTTCAATATTTATTGAAAGACATTGTCATACATTGTAAATTAAATATAATAAACCTACTTTCAAAACAAAAATAATATAGCATAGAAGAAGTAGACTCGTCTCCTCGGGGAATTAAAAAAGATTTTGTTCTCAGTTGTTCAATATATAGATATAATAAATGGGGATTTTTGGAAGTTGAAAATAAAAATAAAAATAACAAACTAAAAATCTACGAATCAAGGATTAATTCAATAAAACGAAGTTTCCAATCTATGAATGAAATTGACAACTTGGATAGTGGATTTGATCATAGATAAATATTTAATTCCATTGGTTTTAAATAAATTAGTTATAGCTACCGACATGCACATAATAATCAATTATTCCTTAATTCTTCGACAGTCTACATACGTCCGTCAACTGCTTCTCTAATTAGATTAGAACCCTAGTAACGCCACAAAGAATTTACTAGCCTAATCGTCTTGCGAATTAGAAGAGCCTAATACAATTTAACAATTACTTATGCGAATTGTTGAAAAGTTATTCTGTGATTTCCTAGTGGTACCTTCCTTAGTTGCTACTTGAACCAAATTAAAACGCAACAGACGCCTAATTTAGTTTAGAAATTAATCTTTGATCTAATTGAAATATCTAACCACAATACTGAACCAAATCAAATATTAAAATCAGAAATTACATAAATACTTCGTAACTAAGAAATAATATAAAACAAAATACAGTCTAATATCACAAATTCATACAAAGTTGTTTATTTCATTCTTAAACTAGTAAAGTAATCTAGTTGCTAGTCATGGGAAGAACAACAAAGATGATAAAAATAAAAATTGTCTTAGATAGATCGGATTGATGAAAAGAAGTTGAAATCTTCTTGGAAGAATATTTCTTTTCTTATCTTTGTGTGATTTCTCCCTGGTCTAATCTGCACTGTGTTTTCCTTTTTAGCATGTAAAGTGGCGCCTCCCTCTTTTCTTTCCTTTAATTCTTGCCATAATTTTGAACAATTGAGCTTTTGGACCTTTTAATTAATTTTTCTGAGTCATTGGGCCTTTTTCTTCTTTTTTCTTTCTTTTTTTTTTTTTTCAAATTCTATCAATTTTATTATTCATAAATAAACAATATTTACACAAATTGAATAGAATCTCATAAAAATCAACCAAATATTCACTACCAGAAACTTAGGCTATAGTTGCGGTAAAAAAAGTCACGATTTTAATACAAATTGGTGATTTTTTACTAAAAAGTCACGGAAAAATATACGGAACTATTTCCGTGGAATTTTGCTGGTGACTTTTTTTAAGTGGTGACATTCATGTGACAATAAGTTATAGAATAATATCATGACATGTTCGTGACTTTATATAGCAACAGAAGCTGCAACAAAATTTCGTGAATATTTTATAATTGTGACATTTTTGTGACAATAAGTTACAAAATAATACCATTACACCTCTGTGACTTTATATTAACGAAAGTTGTAACAATTCTGTGATTATATATATATTTTTTTAAAAAAATAATTATATTATAATTTTTGTTCAATACAACCACACACGATTATTTTTTTCGAAATTACTTCGTACCACACTAACCAAAAACTTACACGACCTATCATGCCAACTTAGCTATCTACTCAAAAGTATTACTTTTTGTTTGTTATTATATTTTAACTATATAAATATTACTCCCTCCGTCCCACATACCGTGTCTGGTACACTCACTACAAGAAAATATCATTTTTGTAACGAAATTTTTTTGTCATTAAATTCACTTTTTCCGTTACTAATGATATTAGAGACGGAATTAATGATGGAATTACGTTAGCTACGTGATCTTTAGTGACGGAATTCCGTTACAAATATACTATTTTTTTTGTAGTGACTGTAGACACGGTATCTTAGGAGGGATGTAATTAGTAGATAATTAAGAATATATTAGTGAAAATAATTATCCTATAATATAAATAATTATAAATGAAGATTAAGATAACTAATTAGTTTAATTAAAATTTAAAAAAATTAATTAAAAAGTTTAAAATGAGATTAAAGTGTATAATCATTTTCCAGAAAGTAACATGGTACGTGGCACGGACAGAAATGACAACGTGGACATAGTACGTGAGACGGAGGGAGTATTAATTATAAATTTATCTTTTAAAAATATATATATTTATTTAATATATCATCATGAATTATTTAAGAAAAATTGAATAGTTACGAACGATATTGCATAAAGATATAGAAGATGATTTTATTATTTTTTTATTACTTTGAATAGCTGCGAACACTAATAAGAAAAATTTATAGTTGTTTACATTTGATTTTAAAAATTCACAAAAATTATACTATGAAAATATCTGTAATAATTTAAAATATTGAAAATATTTTGGTTATTTTTGCCACAACTTAAAATAATCAAAAAAAAAAATTTCATTACATAAGCGGTTACTTTAAATAGTCACTGAAGGTTGTTTGTAGCTTTTTTTGCAAATATTACTTACGAAATAGTCAAAGCAAAAAGTTGTGACATAAATTTGTCACGAAATTACTTTCCGTGACTTTTAATTGTCACGGATTAAAATTTGCGATAAATTTCCGCAATTATCAACCTTTTTTCTAATAGTGATAGTAAACAATATAAATATTTAACAAATGCGATTTCTAACTATTTTTTAATAATTTGATATTTAGCATATTTAGATTTATCAAAATTTTCAATCGTATTGTTATTATTTCTGATAGGTGCAACAATTACTTTCAATTTAAACAACCGATTGTGTCATCGTCTTTTTCCTTAGTCTTCAACGTGGGTAGCCTTTTTCACACCTTCAAAGACAAAGACGACGAGTAGAATGTTATTTATAAGCTTTCATATTTCACGGGGATGGTGTTGAATAGAAGATGCATAGATAATCAGCAAGTCAGTCAATCTCTTCTGATGGTGATGGCTGTGGACAAGAAATTAAATGAACACTCAACCCACTCAAATTCACTCACCACCCTCTTTAATTTTTGCAATATATATGAAATGGTCCCCAAAATCTTTCTTTTAATTAATTTCCCATTTTGGCATAATATACCACCTCATTATATATATATTTTTTTACAAAATGATCTGATTAATATAACCAAGGATCCTTCGGTAATTCGATGCCAAATAGATTCTGCAGGATCGTAGAGTTATCATCTCGATCATGAAAAATAAATGAATAAATAAATAAAACTTGCTAAAACATGCACAACTTGTACTAAAATTTCTAGGTGATTGCAGGTTTTTATGTACGAACAGTAGTTTTCCGTGTTATTGATCTGCTGTCAGTTGCCACACCAATGTAAAGATTCATATAAGAAAAGGAAATATAAAGAGAAGAATATATGGGAAAAGGAGAAAGAAAATTATTTACCACAAAATTGAGGATCATAAATAATGCACATCCTCAGCTCGATCGAAGCATTCACAACAAAGTAGTGACTTGGCTTGTGAAATCAAGAATTAATTAGCATACGTGGCTACTGTATGTGTATGTGTATGTGTACGTGTAAGTGCAAGGTCATCAGTACAAACTCAAAACCACCGAGGCCTTCTTGGTTGAACATATAATACACAGCCACAGGGTTTTCCTAACGTTGTTGACTGCTGTGACTTGCATTCCAAGTTTAAAGAAAGAAAAAAAAAAAAAAAAAGGGTTATTTTAGAAATAAGTGATGAATCATTATAGATAGAGCATGAAAGTTATTTCAATGTAAGAAAGCATGCATATATGTTCCTCATATTAATGTTATGTTATGATTAACAGGAGCAGTAGTACGTTGTTTTACCATCATCATCATCAACTGATCTAGTTGCCTGTGGCGCTATATATTGGTCTTAATCTCCAAGGACACCAAGGAAGTTGAAATACGCGATTCGCCACGACCTCTTGAGCATGAAAAAGGCCACGAGTCCACAAAATCCGAATACGAAACCAATGGCCGTTGATACAAACATGTCTTTAACCGTTGACGAGCTCGTCCGTTCTTCATCATCATCAAGTTGAGAAGTAGGCAAGTTTGGGCACAACCCAAGTGGTCTTCCGCAGAGTTGAGCATTTTCAGCGTAGGCAGATTCACTGAAACTTTGAAGTTGAGTGCTACTTGGAATTCTTCCGGACAAGTTGTTGTGCGACAGATCAAGAACCTGTAGAAAGCTTAATCGGGCGAGGCTTTCAGGTATTGCCCCTGACAGTTGGTTTCTCGACAGATTCAGTGATTCAAGCTTCTCCATGTCACCAATATTGGGTGGTATCTGTCCCTCCAAAGCATTCTTGGACAAATTCAATGAAATTAATCCCTTCAGCTCAAAAACTTGTTGGGGAATGCTTCCACTCAATTGATTGTCCGAAAGATCGATGAGCTTAAGAAGCCACAAAGTTTTCTGGTACTTGGATTCACTTGTTTTCCACTGAACCGATACATATGCATAGTCGCTGTAGCCTCGATCCCCCAACCTACTCAATAGATATGGATAGTCTGTGTAACCTTCATTTGTACCCAAACTAAAGACAGGATTTGGAATTCCATTGAGAAAAATGTCACCTGCAGAATCATCATTCATTTCAACCAATGAAGAATAATTACTAACACATGTCGGGACATGTCCGGATAAATTGTTTCTGGACAAGTCCAGTACTCGTATCCGAGTGAGATAGCAAACTTCTTGAGGAATGCTGCCATAGAATTGATTCTGACCAAGCATTAGATACTTCACACCTCGGTAGCTTTCGCCAATCCATTTCGGGATATTTCCCATTAGCTTATTATTTCCAACATCAATTAGCTGCACAAGTGTGCAGTTTCTCAATGTCCAAGGTAACTCCCCTGAGAGACTATTGCCATTCAAATACAACGTCTGCAGACCGCGCAAAAAGCCGAGTGATTGAGGAATTTCACCAGAAAAGTTGTTGTTTCCCAAGTTGAGAACTATTAAGTTACTGGTCATGTTTTCCCAACAGTTTGGAACCTCCCCGGAGAATTGGTTATAGGAGAGGTCGAGCCACCGCAAAGTATGCAAGTTGCATATAGATGCGATTGGCCCCGAGAGCTCATTATGTGAGAGCTTCAAAACATTAGTATCATTGTGGAACTGAGGTAGAGGACCAGAAAACTTGTTCCAACTAAAATCTACAATTTGAAGTCTTTTGTCCGAGAGATTGGGAATGGTTCCATGAAATTCATTGTGGGAGAAGAATAACATCTGAAAATTGGTCGAAAAACTCCATAGCCAACTAGGCAGTACATCTGAGATGCCATTGTAAGAGAGATCAAGTCCCCGGAGATTGGTCAAACCCTGAACCCAGGAGGGAAATTTTGGATCAATCTTGACATATCTTAAAAGTAATCCTTCCATTTTGGGAGGTGGATTCCAATTGGGGGATATGTATAGTGCCTCATTGAAGGACAAATCAATCCCAGTTAGGTTGTTGAGATTCATGAAGGTGGTTGTAGAGATATTGCCCTCTAGAGAATTATTCGAAATGTCTAAACGTCCAAGCTGCAAAAGGCGCGCAAAACTTGTAGGAAGCCGTTCTAGTTTGTTGTTTCCGAGTTTAAGTTCTCTTATTCTAAGGCATGAGCCGAAGTCGGGCACGGACCCGCTGAGTTGATTAAAATCCAACAAGAGATATTCTAATGTTTTGCAAGGGAGGTTGTCAACTAGCTCGGGAAGCGGCTGTTGTATCTCATTTCTAGAGAGATCAAGAGCAACCAGATTGCTGGTGGTGGGATTTATTCCGAAAACGACAGCTTTTAACTTGTTATAAGAAAGATCAAGCTTGGCAAGAGAAGTTAGATTTGTTATGAAATCAGCTGGAACCACACCGTCTAATTGATTCCGGGAAACATCGATGCTGACAAGGCTAGGGATGTTAGATAACCAGTTCAATGTAGCCAAGGTGAGAAAATTATAGGATAAATCAACCGTGGAAAGAGAGGTAGAAGAAAACTCTTTCAAAGAGTAGGCTCGATCATCATCGCTAAGCTGACAGTTGCTCAATCGCAGCTGCTTCAAGGAAGGAAGCATCAGCGTTCTCTGAGGCCAATTGGCATCACTAACATTGTTTCCAGACAAATCAAGATAGGACAAAGAAGGGAGCTCAGACAGCCAATCCAGACTGTCTACAATCAACGAGTTATAGGATAGATCAAGTTGGACCAAGTTTGTGAGGTTCCCAAGATTGGGAGGGACTGTCCCAAACAAACCACACCTAGAGAGAGTAAGATTTTGCAACATTTTCATGGAAGCAATGAAGTTCGGGATTGGATTCCCTCCGAAATTGATGCCAGTTAGATTGAGATAAGTCAAGTTATGTAATTGAAGCAAAGCTGGACTAATATCACCTCGCAAGCCGTCGTCATTATTGATGTCGAAAATTCTGAGAGCAACAACACGGCCGGTGGTGTTGCTACACTCAACACCATCCCAATCACTGCAACACTCCTCACCTCTCCAACTTGACAGCACGCCATAATCATCTGTAAGCCCTTGTTTCAACGCCAGAAGAGCTTCGCGTTCTTTCGCATCACAACTAACTAAGCCAGAAACAACCATAACATCACATCCAATAAGGGATAGTGAAACAGCCAAAAGCATAACCAGTTTAGCAATCATTTTTTTTGAGTTTTTCTTATTTTCAAATGTAAGACTGTAAGGGAAAGGAAACGGGAAAGAATCGATTTGGGAAAGCTGATTCAGCTGGGAATTGGAATAATGAGTTTGTTTTTTCTTGTTTCTTTTTTCATCTTCTCATCTAATTAACTCACTCATCATCTATTTATAGACTTGATTCAAACAAATAATATGCTCAGTCCCTCGTCAAGTGAATGAAGTCATTGGAGCAACTACTTTAATCATTTCTAATCATATTTGGACAAATGAAATGATCCAATTATGCTCAACAAAGTCAAGCAATACTTCTAGAACAAAGAAGAGGTTTAGCTATATTTAATGTATCTATCTCACTATCATGGACGAATGAAGAAAAGATTTGAATTGATATTACGGTCATAAACAAATGGAAAGCAGCTCAAATAATGTCATATTGAACTCACAAAATGACAAATGAGAACAGCTCATAAGTCACATAGATATATATACAACAGTGGAATATTGCAACTTCATGGACCATTGCTGTGCTGTGGGAATGATTTGAAAGTCAACAATGTTATTATATTCCAGGCTATTGTTTTAGTTCCTTCCAATAGTCATCTACATAGAATATAATAATAATAATAATAATATATACTTCTCCATCCCAAATTTTCTGCTATTATTTTTTAATCCATCTATACATACAAAAGACATCATAGGAGTCTACTCCATCGTATCTCTTTCGTCATTTTTTTTACTTTTTTAACAAATAAATTTATATTAAGTACACACAAGTATACCATGTTTATATGACTTTATGCCCGTAATTCCGAACATGTCATTTTTATTATATTCATAATCAATGCTGATAATATTTGCAAAAAGTAGAATTAAAAGTATGTAATTATGTTTTCTAATCCTAATATATATATATATATAACATCAGATGTCACTACGCTCTCATAGTTTTATAGTTTCGTTTCTTATTTTTTATAAATTCTAAATAATTTTTAAATTCATTATATGTACTCTTAACTTTCAATTATACTCAGAATTAATAGATAGTGGAATTTTGTTAATTTTTTTAATGTACTTCTTTTTTAAATCTGTTTATACTCCTAGTTAAGGATAATGAAATTAAATATTAATAATTTTGAAATATAATTTCTATTATACACTCCAGAAAAACAAGCATCAACATTTTTGCTCAGGTGGTGCAGTGTTAGTTGCAATTGTAGTCTGCAACCGAGGTACCGATATTTTAGTTCCGGCTAGCAGCACAAAATATAAAGTTGAGTTGCCAAAGGTGGCATCACAAACTCAAAATCTTGGCACTTTAAGTAGTGCCAAAAAAATACTCTTCGGTCCACTCTTTTCTTTTTAGTTTATCCATTAAATTTATCTCATTATTTAATTTGGCAAAGTCAACAAATCAACATTTAATTATTACCTCTGTTCAACACTTATTTACAAGGATAATTTTATTACATTATCTCTCTTTATTTATTTACTTTTTCATTAAATTTTTAAAAATACTCTGAAAATTTTTCAATAAATAAATAGCCAAAATTAAAATAAAAATAAAGAATATACCGTGTAAAAATAAATAATACATGTGTTTGCGCCACTTTTAGCACCACACCGAAAAAGCTATATATATTTTTAAATTTGAGGCGTTAACTTCCAAAACTATTATTGTATTTTATTTTTTTAATATTTTGTTATTATTTAATACACAATAATAATAATAATAATAATAATAATAATAATAATAAACAAGTACATAGTAAAATTGTTTAATTTATATTTTTTAATATGACAGTTCAAAAAGAAAGCACAACAAAGATCTTTAAACACATAGTCATAAGAAAATCAATCAATAAATAAGAGCACTGGCACAATTTTATTATTATTTTAAAAATATTTCAATATAATCACAAAATATTAGTAAAATTTAGGCCCTTCAATATTTAGAATTGTCAAACAAGAATGTAAGATTCTCAGAAGTAGACAAAAGAATCAGCCAATAATCCATGTAAAATAACTATATTCCAGCATAACTAGAAAGATAAAAATGGATATGTGGAGCGATTCAGATAGCATATATCCACCAGACTGCCGTCGCCACCTTAAGCTATACTATGAACCCCCTCGATGCTGACAATATATATATATATATATATCTGAGTAGATGGGGTGGAGACGGAGTAGTGTTGCTGGAGTTATCCCAAGGGTGGGGATGGATTCGATAGACAAGCTAGCTAGCTAGCTAGAGGAGGCACTCACTAACTAAGTATTAATCCTCAGAAGCATGAAATGATACTCACACACTCTGGTCGGGTGCCTTGGAAATTAATGCATATACGAATGTCTTTTTCTCATGCCAGACCTTGGGGATGCCAAGGAAGGAAGGAAGGAATATAATGATATATAGTATACTATCAAAAAATTGGCTTTTCGTAGTTGTAAAAAATTTGTAACAAAAGCCCAATTTTTGTGCAAAAAAGTCTTTTGTGTCGACTTTGCTACGGATTTTAACCACTACGAAAAATTGCGGTACAAAAAGTTATTGTTACGAAAAAATCCGAAACAAATAAGAGGCGGTCAAAGTCCTTAATAAGCACATTTTAATTGTAAATGTTACGTTTTCTTGTATGCAACAAAAAGTGCAATTATATTTTTGTCATGAAATATATCCGCCACAAAAAATACGATACAAATATGATGATCTTGTCAGAGAACTTGTTGTGATGGAATATCGTCGTAACAAAAAACGCCGAAAAAAATGAACCTCATGTCAGTGAGCTTTTTGTTACGAAATTTGTCCGTAACAAAAAATATGTCACAAAAGTAAACCTCATGTCAAAGAGTTTTTTGTTATGAATATGTCTGTAACAAAAAATGCGCTATAAAAGTGTACAGTGCAAAAGTCATTTCACCATGAAACTCTTTTTGTTCCGAAAATTGTCCGTAACAAAAAATATGTCACAAAAGCAGACCTCATGTTAGAGAGTTTGTTGTTATGAATATGTCCGTAACAAAAAATGTGCTATAAAAGTGTACAGTGCAAAAGACATTTCACCGTGAAACTCTTTTTGTTCCGAAAATTGTCCGTAACAAAAAATATGATACAATAGACATATCAATGTCAAATATAGTTTATCACCACAGAAGAGAATGCAATCCAACGACGTTCATATACACGCCAAAAGTAGAAACATAACCGTCATTAGTATTTTGAAATATCCTCAACTATGACCGTAACATAGACCATCATAACGGCTAACTAATATATGATCTCCAAAGTAAAAACATAATACATAAGATCAATTTAGCACCAAAAAATGTGCAATGTTTAGTAAGAAGGACTACTTCGGACATCAAAGCTCGTCAATTCAGAATCAGAAAGATAAGAAGTTAGGGATGGCAAACTAACTGCAATGAGAAGCTAATATATATAAAAATTTATTACTACAATTGAAATCATTTAGTTTCCAAGGACATAAACTATTAAAAAAATATGCACAACCTTGTATGACAGTCGATATTATCTCCGTCGAGTACTTCACCAAAGATCTTTTTGTTTGGAATATAAGTGGGGTCTCAGGGACCGTAAAAACTGTGATAAATACTTTGACGATGACTAGGGTACCTATATAAATACGTAAAACCTATGCTATTTATAACCAAGAAGACTGATATATGATATGCAAACTTGTAACTAACATACGAAATTAAAAGACATATCCAGTCATATAAATAAATCAAGACTATGGTAGCATGGTACTGACTATATCATACGATAAGCATATAACAATATATATATATATATAAAAGGGAGTGAATACTAAATACGGTCAAATGAACCATAAGCCAAGAATAAACCACCAAACAACTCATACACCACCCATAAACCAAAACAAGCCGGGTGACCCTGAAACAATAACTAAACCTTAAATCTATTTAGCTCACCAAAATCTTTCTACATTCAACCAGTATCTTTACAAATTATTTGTAGTTTTGTTAGTTTAAAATTAGGTATACCTCTCAAAATACTATGAACTTTCAGTAACCTTAGCCTTTGCAGAACCAATTATCATTAGTGCAGGGTGCCCTTTCTCCTACGGAACAATTCAATTATATATATAATGAACCCATTCACTCATCTTTAACAATATCCTATATTTAACTATATTAATAAGGCAAAGTAGCCAATAAATGTACCAAATGCAATAGAATGCATAGATGTAATATTCACTCTCTATGTCCATGTTGAACACCACCATACGAATCAGATGTGCAATATTATAATTTCCGTTAGATATACAATTTTATAGATCCCACAAAAAGTATTTCATACCAACCTGCTAACTTTCGGCAAACTTTTGATGTGAATGACCTAGAACAAATCAACAGTTGCTTCTTCAAACAAAAGTATTTCATACCAACCTGCTAACTTTCGGCAAACTTTTGATGTGAATGACCTAGAACAGATCAACAGTTGCTTCTTCAAACACTTCAACGGCTAATGATAGAAAAAATTATGACATGGGTAATTTCATACATGACATATCTCAATCATAGTGCATCACACTTGCAAGTGAAGATTGCATAACTAAGTAATGAGCTCTCAGTAACATAAGCATGCTTTAAGCCAAGTTCACAATAAAAATCACCTTTATCTTGTAATACAATTTCAGATTTCTTAGCTTGCTTCAAATTTTTTATTTCTTTCATTCAACAGTGTTGAAATATAAACTAAAACATAATAAAATATTTTTTCAGAAATAATCAAATGAATATAATAGAGAAAGCGTAACTCATAGTAGTTGAAATGTCTGTATAGTCTTGTTTCATGGATGTTGCTTTTTTACAAACAACTTGAAATGTACTATAAACAACAGTTAAAGAATACAGTTTTAAAGGAAATTTAAAGAGATCTATCAGGGCAATCTTTTTAAGTCATCTTGTTCAAATCAAGTAGGGAATGTAATATCCCAACCAAAATAACAAAAAGATTAACCTCGACAACAACTTTGAAGTTCATGTCCCTTATCTCTTTTAATAATTTGTCACTGTGACAAACAACAAAGTGATGAATCATAAGAATGTCTAACACTAAGAAGATATTGGCTTAGT